AAATGTCAAACAAATTAAAAAATAAATACAGTAGTGGAATAGACAAGATCCCGACCAGTATTGTAAAACAGGTTGCTCCAGTATTAGGCAATTCAAACCACATGACATTCAAGATGGCGTGGCGGCCACACATGGGCCAAAAAACACAAAAAAATGTCTAGTTTCTGCCCGAATTAATAGTTTAGGGACCTAGTCAACAAATATTTTATTAAATAATGAAAATCAAAGTTGTAAGCAAAACTGTATGTAAAATAATTTAAAATAGGCATAAAAACATGTTCAAAACAAACTTGCTTGGCCGCCACGCCACATTGAATTTTCCTTTTTGACAGATGGATTGAATTGCCTAATTAGGAAATATACTGTCATATATAATTAATAATTCATTTGAATTTGGAATATTCCCTGATAATTTGAAGATAGCTCTTATCAAGCCATTATATAAAAAGGAAACCCTAAAGCGCTGGACAGTTATAGGCCTATAAGTTTGTTGCCCAGTTTTTCAAAAATCTTTGAAATGGCAATGAGTAATAGACTAACTAATTTTCTAAAGGAAGGCAACATTTTTAACCAGTGCCAGCATGGTTTTTTGAAGAATAAATCGACACAAACAGCAATATTTGAACTTATTAAACATATTTTCACATTGAAAATGGAGAATTGGTGCTTGGTATGTTGCTCGACCTATCAAAGGCTTATGACTGTCTGGATAGGGAAATACTACTCAAGAAATTAGAACTGTATGGAGTCAGAGGTAATACAAAAGAGTGGCTCAGTTCATATTTGAACAACAGAAGACAATGCGTCAGCATAACAAAAGAAGGGAAGACCGAGCAGTCAAAGTGTTATATAATGAAATAGGCATAGCTCAGGGCAGTATGTTGGGTCCAATTCACCATATTAGTTTCGGGCGCGAAATTTAAAATGGGTTCCTAAACACATTTCAACAAATTTGACAACAATGTATTTCTTATGGGGGATTTTCAGAGGGGAATATCTTGGGTTCTGGGCATTTCTTAGTATTTGAACTTATTATACGTCAAACTTTGAACATATTTCTCTATAATTCATGCTTTAATTGTTTTTTAGACCTATGAATCAAAAATACAAATGATTTTAATTAAAAGTGTCTGTTTTCGGTGGACGTACGTCGGGTCCAAAACCAGCTGTAAGAAAGTGAGGTTGTGTGTTGTGTTATGATTGTTGATGAATTGTTTATTTATTTATCCATCACATCACTGGTTCAGTCATTTGTTTTTCCATTTTTTTAGATTATTGAAGTACATCTACTAACCAAGTATGTAGGTACACTTTTATTTTATTATAATTATAGGTATCCATATATATACTTATGGATCAAGCAACGACATACGTATTTTATACAAACATCGGCTTCTTAAATTGGTAATATTTTTATTTTAACAATGTTTATTCAACTTTCAGACACTCTCTCAGTTAATTAACATATTAAAAAAACTATTTATACAACTCACTTCCCTAACAAATGTTCTATCACGTCTACAGACGCTTTTAAAATTGAGTTCCCATAAGACATCAATGTATTAATTTTTGAACCAGGAACCCGCGCCAATTTGCGATTCTAACCTAACTAATATGGTGAATTCTGTTCATAATCTTTGTGAATGACCTACCCCTTTTAATGAACAAGCCCTATCAACATATTGTGGAATATGCAGACGACACAAACCTACTTATTGGTATGAAAAACATGCCAGAGTTACTAACCCAGTCACAATATTTTTTTGATCAAGTTACAGAATGGTTCAATAAAAATAGATTAATATTAAATAAAGAAAAAACAAATATTGTAATGTTTAGAACAAAACAGTCTACAGCAACAAAGCCACAAACTATAGAACTGAATAATAAAAAAGTGGAACTATCAAACAATGCAAAGTTTTTAGGCATTAATATTGACGAGAATTTAAATTGGTCACACCATATCAATATTTTAATAAAAAAATTGAACTTAATATGCTACGGGATAAGGGTCATTGGCAAATATATGAATGAGAGGACACTCAGAATGCTGTACTTTGCAAATTTTGAATCCATTTTAAAATATGGTATTATTTGTTGGGGAGGGGATAGTCTATGCAAAGCGTTTTTGTAGTTCAAAAAAGGTTGATAAGAGTAATCACTAACAGTGGGTACTTGGAGAGTTGCAAGACAAAATTTAAAAATCTAGGAATAATGACCCTATATGGAATCTACAGTGTGTCCCAGGGAAAACAGTTCACCCCGATTTATTGGGTTTGGGATGAGAATCTGGGAAAATGCTCGGACACGTCGATGTTTAATTTGAGGGGGAACTATTTTTCAGTTTTTTTCATCCCCGTAGCTTCAACCCCCTTGCTAGGGGGAGAACAACCCCCTAAATTTAAATAGGGAATAGGGGTCGTGTCATACCTCTTTTTAAAGGTCTCATCGAGTTCTTTATGGCCCTAGAATTTCATCTTATTATTTTCATTCGTAACGAAATGACAGCTTGTCAAAATCTTGGAAATGGACTATGTTTTAGTAGGAGTAAAAGCGGTACTTACCTCCCTTAATAAAAATATGATTAAAAATAGTTCACCCCGATTTATTGGGTATGGGATGAGAATCTGGGAAAACGCTCGGACACGTCGATGTTTAATTTTAGGGGGAACTATTTTTCAGTTTTTTTCATCCCCGTAGCTTCAACCCCCTTGCTAGGGGGAGAACAACCCCCTAAATTTAAATAGGGAATAGGGGTCGTGTCATACCTCTTTTTAAAGGTCTCATCGAGTTCTTTAGGGCCCTAGAATTTCATCTTATTATTTTCATTCGTAACGAAATGACAGCTTGTCAAAATCTTAGAAATGGACTATGTTTTAGTAGGAGTAAAAGCGGTACTTACCTCCCTTAATAAAAATATGATTAAAAATACCTACAATTTACAATTCTCGTGTACACCTCATTAATAATAATAAGAAAAAACTTCATTTCAAGTATTTTTATTAGGGGAGGTAAGTATCGCTTTTGCTTCCACTTAAACTAATAGCACAGCATATTCAAAAACAATCAGCAGGCTAACTCTCACGCGCATCTTTTCTGCGCACGCCGCCATGAGGGGATACCATTTTGTCATAACGCTGTCATTAAACGGCAGGAGCGCTGAATTTTTATTTTATTTGTTTCCCCTCGTTTTTATTCTCATTGGTGACTTCACCGATGCGTTAGCTATCTTTTTTTAGTGAATGAAAAATGACAATGACGGCCATAGAATGGTGGATCCATCGGTAAAATTTGATGAGAATAAAAACGCAAGGTTTATTTCTGACGGAGGTCATAGGCGTGCAGTGTAGAGCGGAATTTTAGCTATGATTTTCAAAATGATTTTGATATATTCGTGTTGTCATTTATGGTGTTATCTGTTATCATTCTTGTATATTCAATAATAATAATAAATTAGTAATTATAAATATTATTATATGTAAGTAATAATAAATTAGTTTATTTAAAGCCAATACGACTCTGTCACAGGAAAGAAAAAACCTAAATTATCGTTAATCAGGCCCTGTTTCGTATCCCAAAATGACCGCTAGTGACATTTTGACCATGAATTCCTTTATTACACGGGCTGTCACTCAAGTTAGCCTGCTGATTGTTTTTGTATATGCTGTGCTAATAGTCTATTTCCAAGATTTTGACAAGCTGTCATTTCGTTACGGATGAAAATAATGAGACGAAATTCTAGGGGCATAAAGAACTCAATGAGACCTTTAAAAAGAGATATGACATGACCCCTATCCCCTATTAAAATTTGGGGGGTTGTTCTGCCCCTAGCTAGGGGGTTGAAGCTACGGGGATGAGAAAAACTGAAAAATAGTTCCCCTTCAAATCAAAAATCGACGTGTCCGAGCGTTTTTTCAGATTCTCATCCCAAATCCAATAAATCGGGGTGGACTGTTTTCCCTGGGACACCCTGTATATTTATGAATGTCTAATGTTCTTTTTAAAATACAAAGACAGTTTTGATATAGGCCAACAATGTAACTACAACACGCGAACTTTGGATGTTAGCTACCCATTACATAGGCTTACATTAACAGAAAAATGTCTTAATTATATGTGCCTAAAATTGTTCAATGCTCTGCCAGAAAATATGAAAAAAATAAAATCCCAAAAAATATTCAAACGAGAAATCAAAAAACTGTTAGTTGACCTAGAACCCTATAATTTAAGGGAATTTTGTAGAGACCTTTAACTTAATGTACCTATACCTATGTACTTGTATGTATGACGTCATTTCTTTCTTTGTTGCGCTTGTAATGATGATTTTGAAATAAAGTTTGTTATTATTATTATTATTATTAAGAAGAGTAAGGAAATTGGGTAACTCCGGCCCTAGATTCATATTTCATTTACGATTCAAAGTCAAACTATTGATTTTTCGGAAAAAAAAATAAAACAATTTTCTGTTCAAACAATTTTCTTTTGAACATTTTTCTGTTCAAATAATTTTCCGTTCGAACAATTTTCCGTTCGAGCAATTTTCTTTTGAACAATTTTTTTTTCAAACATTTTTCCGTTTGAACAATTTTCCGTTTGACAATTTTTTTTCAAACAATTTTCCATTGATGCATCTGAAGAGCTACACAAATTGCATGTAATTATTAGCTCAATTTTTTTATTTACATGCTAATTCAATTATACTTGATATTTTTGAATATCATTCCTAAAAAAACAACCTAGCACTTCCGATCATTGGTGTCCTATCTCATACTACTTCTCTATGGTTCCTCTATATACCCTAGAATTTTTGACCAGTTGAACTGGGAAACCCTGTATAAAAATAACCTTTAAAAATCTTGAAAAAATAATGGCTAATAAAAAAAAAGGATGTAGAGGTCTTACAGAGACTTGTTGTAACAACTTGAGATCTCGCAACAAGATTTTTGACTAAAATTGGGTCCCCCATATGAAGTTACAAGGTTATTAAGTAAATTTCTTACCTTCTTCCTGAAAATAGGCTTAGTCTGACCTCCGAAACCTTGTTGTTTACGGTCGTAACGTCTTCTACCTTGAGAAGCGTGACGTTCCTTGGACTTCTTGTACTGAGTGACTTTGTGCAACTTGTGCACTTTGCACTTTTTGCAAAACGTACGACGCTGTTTCGGTACGTTCACCTAAAATAAAAAAAGGCATCCAATCAATAATAATTATTATTCAATAAAGAAAGAAGAAAAATATTTAAAAAATCAAATCAATGTTGATATAAACATAACCTAGAAAATTTGGTTTTTCTGAGTTTTCACTTTTCAGGCCCAAAAAGCTCGACGGATATTAATGAAACGACGACCCCTGTGCTCGATTTTCACAGAAAAATCGGCAAAATGGCATTAATTGGGCCGATGATTAAAGAATTTAATTTTATGTTATAACAACTCACCATTTTTGTTTTTGTCCGTTGTCAAAAAGAAAAGTGCCAGGCTTGACTTGACAGAAGTGACAGTTGAGATGTTTGATGATATAAAAGCAACGTTGTCAGATTTAATTTTTTATAAAGCTTTGTTTGCGTGATCCCATTCCAAATTGCTCTACTCTGGAACAATTAAAGACATGCTGCGAACGATTTGGGAACATAAAAGGCACTAGAACTGTTTTATTTTAATTCTTCTTTAAAGCAATGGTACTAGTTCAGAATTGATCCAAGTTGAACCTGCAAAGAAAGGTCCCAAATTCGGAATTCAGTGATCCGCGAACAACATAATTTGAACTTTGCCAGCTAATAGGCGGTTACACACGGGCGTGGATGGCTTAATACATATACGTGCATACATCAACGTGCAAACAACAACGTGCATGTCGCGTATGTACAGACGCTTGCACAAAACTGCAGTCTTGCTATTCTTGCTACAGTAATCCGAGTGTGCATATAAAATTTCTAGCGATTCCACATTCAAAAACGCGATTGTATTTTGCATACACATTGGGCGTGTTTGGGTTGACGCTCGGCGGAGCGAGCAGAGCGATTATGGTCATTATGGAGTTACGTGACGTCACAGGGAGTACACCGTGTCAAGCCAAATAAACTCGTGCAGAAGTGCTGGGTAGAGGGGTCAGCTGATTGATGTTTATTTTTTTTAGGATATCTTTTTTGAAGTCCGAGTCCGTATTTCGCATTTCCACCAGAGTTTATTTTTATTTTATTCGATATTTATTAAACCCCCCCATTTTCTTCTGCGTTCTGCAAAAATTGTGTCGTGCTAAATAAACAAATGGAGTAATAGACCTGAACAAACAATACTTTGGCCGCCAAGTTCGCTTAGGAAAATATGGTCAATAATGCCAGTGATGAAGGCTACCCAGAAAATTTAATTATAAGTGAACAATAATGCAGGATTTAAATAGGCATTTGATTGTTAACATATAAAACTATCCAGCTAACAAATGAATGTTGAAATTTAGGATTTTTTTATTTATCTTATCATGGAAAATAGGTTGGGTTTTATAGACAGATAAACACATCTGATCTGCGCATGCACGCTCTAGCGGCCCACTCCACAAACTCGGAGTTTATCGAGCTCGCTCTGAGCGCTCAAAATATGCCAAACCAAACACAATCAAGCGTTGTCGTAGCACTCGTAGCTTCAAAAATAAGAGAAGAGAGACAAAAGTGCAAGCTCTGAGTGCACCGAGCGTCAACCCAAACGCGCCCATTGATGTTTTTGGTTGCGCGTTCATGTATGTGCGTACATGTTTTAAGACATCCACGCCCGTGTGTAACCGCTTAATAGTTCCAATTTCGTACTCTGCACGAAGAAAACATAAGCTTAGATTGTGGATCACATTCCGAACCAGTTCAAAAAGAACTTGGATCAAAACTAGTTCAGAACAGAATTGCTCCGAATTAATTCTACCTGAACCGAGATTAGCGCCATCTGTTGACGGCAACTGATTTTAGCGCCATCATTATTACCTAACCTCAAATAATTCAATATTTTCATTTACTGAAAAACTCAAAATAAATTTTTTATAATTAAAAATGTTTAAGAAGTGAGTTAATTAGTGATTAAAATTATTAATTATTCTATTAATTATCTGTGATTTAAGATTCGACGAGAAAGAAAGTATATCCGGAGTCTTGCAGCTGAAATCTTCAGTGCAAAAGTCGATCAGATCGAAAATTTTGGAGTCTTATCCGTTTTTGGATACTTATTTGGAAGTAGTTTTACCCAAAAAGGACGCTTTTAAAATAGTAAAATGGTAAGTTGAATATAACTTGATTCCTTTATACAAAAAATTATATTTCTTTGCAGTCACGATCACATTGAAATTATAGTCAATTCGGCTGGGGAACAGCAATTTTTCAGGCATCGAGAAGGTCAATGGATGCCCACCCTAAGATTACTTCACAAGTGTAAATAAATTTCCATTTCATTATTTACTTATTCATCAATTTATTTAATTTAACGCCTGGTTTATTCATCTTCAGATAAACTTGCTGGTAACTATCTGCAAGATAAATTTACCATTCTATAATTCAATTGGTCAGCGTATAACTGGCCGACCAATGGAATTACCGATAGCGTTTTTATTGGCCTATTCTCAGTTATTTTTTAAATTGTCCTGAAGATGTAAATAAATTTTGCGAAACGTCGACAATTTAAAAAAAAAAAAAAACTATTGTTGCCGTATTAATAATTAAATTAAACATATATTTTGTTTCTTTATATTAAATTTTTTTAGATCCTTTCTTTTTACCGATGCAACAAGTAGACAAAGGAGCGATCAGATTTGTACTTAGTGGTGCTAATATAATGTGTCCGGGTCTCACTTCGCCCGGGGCTCAGATGACTGAAGTACCCAAAGACACTATTGTGGTATGTAAAGGATTTTACGTGTGTATTTGTTTTATAAGTTGTTTTTTTAATTTTAGGCTATAATGGCCGAAGGCAAGGATCATGCTTTGGCTATAGGAAAGACTACGTTGTCCACTGAAGACATGTAAGAACTTGAATAATATATTTTTTTAATTTTTTGTCCACTCTGTATGTATTATATATTTTAAGGGTTGATCTATTCACCTTCTGGTAAACTGTCAGGTATGCAATCTGAGAGATAAAAACGCAATCTGTAATCCCATTTGTCGGCCAGTTATCCGCTGACCAATAGAATTATAAAACGGTAAATTTATCTTGCAGATAGTTACCAGCAAGTTTATCTGAAGATATTGTTGCCACCTGTCTGGTTTTCACCTGGACTGTCCGGTTTTTTGAAGGTTTGTCCGTTGTCCGGTCGCATGATGAAATTGTCCGGGAATATCTGGATAGCTGTATAATTAATAGTAATTAATTCTCAATATAAAATTTATAAAGGCGATTGCTGAACGTCTCAGGTCAGGATATAAAGTGTGACAACTGAGTGAACCTAGGTAACGTATGAAGTAGCAGAGGGGAAGACAAAAACCTACAATACAGGGTCCCAACTATTTCATAGGGACAGTATTGCTATCTCAAGAACGGTTGAAGTTACGAGGGCGTTTAAATTTAATAAGAGTCGCCATTTTTGAACAATATTAAAATAGTACATTAAAATACCAGTTTCATAAGACATCATTTTATTGCACGAGCCCTATATTAGAAAACGAGCCGGAGGCGAGTTTTCTAAAGGGCGAGTGCGATAAAATGTCTTATAAAACGAATATTTTATACTATTTTTTCTATTTTGATATTGTTTAATTTAAGAAAAAAAACTTTTGTTGGAAATATGAGAATAAAATTTCCAAGAAAAGTTTGTTTTTTTCAATTAAACAATACCAAAATAGAAAAAATAGTATAAAATATTCGTTTCATAAGACATTTTATCGCACTCGCCCTTTAGAAAACTCGCCTCGCGATAAAATGACGTCTTATGAAACTTGTATTTTAATGTACTATTTCGTTATTGTCATATTTCTATTGGTTTCGCAAATACAGGGCGATTTTTCAAAATTTGCAAAAACAATTTTATCAAAAATTTTAAAATCTATTTTATTTAGAGGCATAGTTCAAATTCAAAAGTATTATATTTTTAACATTCTTCAAAAATGGCAACTTTTTTTTAATTTAAACGCCCTCGTACCTTTAACCGTTCCCGAGATAGCAATCAATGCTGTCCCTATGAAATAGTTGGGACCCTGTATATGACGCATTGGGTCCCCGACGTGGTGCGAAAATTGTGGTTACCCTGACGCGACGACCCGCGTATATGCATATTCTATCTCGCGCCAGTCAGGAGGGTTTCGCCCGCATTCCTTCCACACAGGTTCATTCCGTTGTCGCACTTTACCTAACTTATTTCTGAACGTACCTACTTCTTGAATGACGGGTGTGTCACTAACGTCTCCGATTTCCAGCTAGCGACGGAAAAGTGGACTTTTTCTGCCTAGAGAGAAAAGCTCGTTGCTACTCATTCAACAAACATTATCAGCGCAATTGATAAATATAAAAAAGTGGAATATCCTTGAAATTCGGAGAAAAAATTATATGTTTCTCACGGCAAAAGATCAGATTTAATACCTTGGCTGGTTTCCTAGCTTCGCCTTCGGCTATGGAACACCAGCCAGGGCATTAAATAAATAATTGTGTATGTATTGTGTCATTCTCCCTGTTCACTTATAAGTCTTTTTTTTTTTTAATTTTAAAACAGACCGTAACTGGGCGTTTAAAATTAAGTAGGTACCTTTTTTAATTTTTTTCTAAAAATTCATTTTACAGATATGAGTGTAAATTATGCTACAAAAGAAAGTAAGCTTCGATTATGTATGGATTTTTGGAAATCAAAAGGTGGCAACTCTATCTGAAGATGAGGGGGGCCTTAGACGAGAAAAAAAGATTGTTGCCATGTTATAATGAAATTTTATTTCTGTTGCAGAGCCAAAGTCAATAAGGGAATTGGAGTGGAAAATTGCCATTACCTCAACGACGGACTGTGGCAAATGAAACCTATAAAATAAATTACCTATTATTGTATTGTTGTAAAGCATTTACATATTTATTAATAAAATTTACAATAAAATCAAGTGTAAGTATGTGGGTGGAGTTAGCCACGAATTTAGAGAGGTATATGTTATCCGCACCAAAACGCTTCAAATTGGTTAAATATCAGAATAAAACTAAGACATTTTCAAAATTCAACTCGATCATCAAATCAAATCAAAATATGTATGCTCTATTGTGAAAAGAAAAATATCTTATCTACAAAGCAGCCACCCAGGCAATATACATATATAGTAAGCAGGATAAAAATAAATGCCAAAAATTGAAATTATATAGTTACCTATGTAAAAATTAAAATACATGTACAATTAGAATAACAAACAGTGAAAATACAAATAAAAGTAAAAACAAAAATACAATTAAAATAAAATTAATAATATGTACATTCAATCCATAATATTCCGAGCCAGAGAATGCAAGTCAACGTATAAAGGATGCATAAATTAAATCATTACAATAATAATTTAAAAATAAATACATTACAATCTAAAAATAAAAATATTACAATAAATAGCCAAGACTAGGCGAGGTGTCACAATATAGATATGATTATTTCAAGTATTTTTATGGGAATAACTCATTTTCGCCAAATATTGAGATAGGCCTCTTCGTACTGACAGCGACGATATGATAGAGCTAAGAGCTACAAATGAGTTCTGAGTGGGGGATAGTCATCCTCGTCACGTAATACTGGAAACTTGCTCTCATGTCGGCAACAATGCAATGTAACATCAGCAGCCTCTGTCGGTTAATTCGGTATTCGGTGAGCACAGGCCAAGAATCGTAAACTAACAGGAATTCTCATCCTCATAAGGCGTATGTTCGTCAATTCTCGAGTCGGAAGGGCCTGCGAGTGACGTCACTACTAATTAGCAGCATAACAGCTTATAATGATGATGTCACCCGCAAGCCTCGATGGGATGCTTGCGATTCAGGTTGTGCTTGTTTTTTCGTCAATTTTAAATGTAGAAAAGGTGATTTTTAACAAGATTATAACGATTACTGTGACCTGTGACTGTTTTAAACTCGGCTAATGCATTTTACGCCAAGTGTTGAGGTGTTCGGCTGAAATAGCAGACATTTTCAGCTCAAGCAGTAGCCCATTAGGTTGAGTGCTCTTAGGCACAGGCAACTGCGATGCTGCTTTCGGTTTCCTGGGATTACCTCAAACATAATAGTGTCGACAGGTACTTCCCATTTTTTATTCCAAAGAAGAAAAGCGGTAAAATAAAAATAAATGCCCCCCCTAAATTTTTCTGGCCCAGTCTGCCCCCCCTCCTAACATAGAACCCTGGCGTCGCCACTGTATTTGTTTAGGTAATTTTCTAATGGCCGGTATTATAAAACACGGAATCGATGATTGAGTTTCAACCTTGGGTTGACTCCATGCCAATTGATAGGATTCAACCGAAGGTTGGAACTCTACCATCGGTTCAGTGTTTTATAATACCGGCCCTAAGTCAAGTGAAATTCAATTCCGTTGAATGTAATAAAAATGTCAGCCAATTTTTCAAAGTACCTAACAAATTTTGAGAAAACGGAAAAAAGCAATACGAATATACGAACTTCCTTTCACTGCTTTCTTATGTTCAAAAGACTATTTCTAGGGGGGCAAATGCCCCCCCCCCCCCCCCCAAACGACGCCCATGGTAGGCAGTAAAGCTATAGGCCTAAAATTAGGAGGACAGTCTTGTTTTCCACCCTTATATAAAGGGACAATCACTACTCTCTTCAGGCAAGACGGAAAAACCCCCGACACAAAAGAAACGTTAATTGCCTCAGCAAGAACCTGCAAAGCAACTATGGGTTAAGCCAAAAAAAAACTTTCAATGAGAGCCCATCCCAGCCCGACGCACCCTTATTCCTGATATTACCGAGTATGCATATAAGCTCTTCTGCATTAGTTGGAGCTAGAAAGAAATATGCACCCACTCCTACATGTTTCAGATAGCTCCTGGGATCCTTCCCTGTTGAAATTTTGGCTGAGAGTTCAGTGGCAATATTGCAGTAAAAGGAATTTAGGTCATCAGGATTCAGATTGCTTGAAGTGACCAAAACATTATTCCTATCCTACCTCTCAGAGGTCATTTACAATTTTCCAAGTTTCCGTTGATCTATTAGAAGAATTATTCATCCTATTCTGAAAGTAATTAGTCCACTTGGCAAGCCTGATTGATTTTCTGTAAACCCTTCATCAAAATAATTTAAAAATATTGGATTGTTCATAGACAATTTTCTGATGTAATGAAGTGGGTGCATATTTTTCCCAGAAGTTCGCAGGCTATTTTTTAAACAGGGTTTTCTTTTTCGCTTCATTATACTGACAATAGGGAAGGCAATGTCAAAATTACTCAGCAACATTTGATGAAATTGTTGCAATGGGCTGACAGTAGCCAGAACCTCATTCTATTCCGATCGGTGGCAAAGCGAAGAAAAGTTGGAAAAGTTTGCCCTAGTATAAAGTCTACTGCGTCTAAACCCATCCTAATCAGCTTCGTCGCCAAATAGTACAAGTCATATTACTGCCTCGTGGTCAGACAAACCGGCATTGATCGTTACACACTGAATTTCAATCTGATTGAAATTGGTGCAGAAATAGTCCAGTATCGAGGCAGAAAATGCGGAAAAGTGGGTTGACGATCCACGTGCATCTTTAAGTTGAAAGAGTTCAACAAATTACACAGTAACTGATTAAAATAATTCGATACCTACACTTGTCTAAGAAATTCACGTTGAGATCACCAGTCAAAATCAACATGGAATTAACACTGAAATGTCGCTCAACAAAATCTCTATAAACCTCTTCAAAAACAACTCCAAATCACCAGATGGAGACCTATAAAAACCTAAAACATATAAAACATATTGTGTTTCTCGCAGAACACTATAGATAGAAATCTCGAAATCCTTTTCAACCAACAAATGATCAAACGATCAAACCTATCAACAGTAATGAACATAAACCTAAATAGACAAAAACTCTCTATGATGATTAGTGTACCACCATGTGCAAATTGCTTGCGGAAAATTTAGACATCAACACAGAACCAGACACGTCAATACGCTCATTAAACAGCAACCAAGTGCTCAACCAAAATCAATACGCTATGAAAATTGACTGATTCCAAAAACGGGTCTATGTCAATTCGTCGTCAATTTGTCGTAAAGTCAATACGTCGTAAAGTCAATTCGTCGAGTAAGTCAATTAGTCGTAAAGTCAATTCGTCGTCTATGTCTATTGGTCGTATTGTTATTATTGCTAATTTGTCGTTTAGGTAAATCGTCGTATTTTAGGTTTAATGTTAAAAAGTATAAATTCACACTATTTCGTTTGATCAAAAATTATCAAACCCGGTTAGTTTGCAATTTCAATCAGACATTACATTGCAAACTAAGTCATACTAACCGGGTTATTATCGGTAAGACGCCATACTAACCGGGTTATTATATTATCGGTAAGTATGATAATGTCTGATTAAAATTGCAAACTATTGATAAGACGTTAATTAGTCTTATAGGTACATCAATTCGTCGTCGTATTTCAGGTAAAATGTTCAAATATATAAATTTGTACTAACCCAAACCAATTGGGTCATTATCGGTAAGTTTGATAATGTCTGATCAAAATCGCAAACTATCAATACATTGGCTACCACATGAGTCACCAGTGATGCAGTTATACCGACAGGGATGTTTCACCCAATTTGCCCCCAATACGAGCTGCTAGTCGACGTTACTTTACGACAAATTGACTTCACGACGAATTGACGTATACATCTAATCAACGCTTCGACGAATTGACTTTACGATGAATTGACTTCACGACAAATTGGTGTACGACAGATCGATTTATGACGAATTGACGGTGACCCTCCAAAAACAACTCTTATTCATCAACCTTTGAACGCACCGACTGGATATTTAGTAATGCTAGGGTAAAGTGATTCTGACGGGTGCTGCTACTAAAAAAGTTAAGTAACTGAAAATCAACGGTGTCTAATTTTTTATCAGAGTGTGCATAATCTTTGTAAAACACCACTATCTATCTATATCCAGTCCTATAACATCCCTCACGGGACACTCCCATTAACAAAATCTGAGATCCTGCCACTAAGTGCCCGTGCTACTTTCGTCTTATCTCTATGTTTAATGGACAATGCTAATCCATGATCTTTCTTGTTGTGACTTTTAGACATAGAATGTGCGATCTTCATTCTCGTAATCTATCCCCTCTTCCACGACGTACATATGTTAACATTAAACACAGCATCGGCCCATAATGTATTTGGTGTTAACATTTGTACCGTTCAGTTCTGGCTTCGAAATACCGCGCCCTGTACCGAAAAGAGTTGGGTAGTGAGTAGACTTATCGAATGTAATACCACAAGAGGTTTCAGGATTACCGGATAATACTTTTATCTGTCACGAAACGCGTGTCGTGGTGTTGCTGCTAACGCGTTGAGTGTCAGGTAAAAGTATTAGGTAATCCTGAAACATCGAGTGGTATTCAAAAGGTTATACAACGAATTAAACTTTAATGCTTTATTAATTTTTATTATTATTAATAACAATATTGCCACCAAGCGCGATAATCCCAAAAGGCTTATCACTTATTAAGCCTCTCGTGTCATATGGGAATAATGTACAGTGAGTTGTATAATCAGGACAAGTCTCGGCTGTACAGGCAAGTCCAGCAGGACAACCGCAATCCTTATGTCCTGGTTGAACGTATACGGACATAGATCAGTTATACTTTCTACCCCGGTGAGATACGCGATTCTGAACTTGTCGCTAGAAGTTTTCGGGGACCGGTGCTGGGCTTATTTCTTCGATAGTTGTTTTATTCTGGTTTTTCTTTCTCCAATGTAACAAGCTACCTGGTGCTAGTGGTCCCTCAACCACTATAATCTTGAGTGTGGTGTCTGAGATTACCGCTGGTTTAACCAAAAGATAAATACCGACTGTTAAGCTGCCACAGCTCAAGGAAAAACCTAGGAAAACCCGTTACAAATGTGACGCCCGAGCAGGGACCATTTTGCGCAGCAGCAACTGATCGTGAAGATTACGTCATCATCCGTCCCCCGTTTCACCGAGAGGGCATTTATTATGGTATCGACCGATGGGTTGACCGTTACATCGTGGTATACTTCTTCATGGATTCTTCAGAAGCAATGGCGCTGCTTGGTGTTACTATTTTAATAAGCCCCATAATTTGAAGCGTGTTGTGGCCGTCTATTGTGTAGACGTTGATATCTGCATTGTCTGCTGAATACTGAATAAGAGCACCAGTTTCAAATGATAGAATATCTGGTTGTGGATGGTAGACTGCAGCAACGTCATACGTTAATATTTCCCTATACGACGCGCTGAATCCAAGAGTTGACAAAATATCTAGAAAAGGTTAGATGTGGAGGATCGTGCACGTATCGTAGCCATAATAACATGACAAATAGCGGTACACTTACACTTAAGATGGACAGTTTTGCCTTTTCTGTTTTTCAGAAATAATTCTTCAATAAAGTAAAGCTCTATGGGATGTTTTCGTTAAGATTATGAAACATTCTACTGGGAGGAAGATAAGATTGACAATTAACAGTCATGAAACGAATGTCTTCTCTGATAATTTTGGTCACAGTTTGTAAAATTCGAAGGCGTTCTTTTGCCGGTTGAGATTTCTTATTTTCATACCAAACTTCACCTAAAATATCACTTTGAGTATCGCGAAAACAAATCATGGTGGAAAAAGGAATGTAGTTTTATTAGTTACAATAATCGAAAAACGTGGAAAATGAAAATGAAAAGAAAGTTAAGGAAAATTGGATGCTTGAAAATTTTGGTTTTGGGCGGGATTCGAACCCGCGTCCTCAGCATTGCTGGTGCTACACTCTAACCAACTAAGCCACCATGATCCTACAGATCTTTTCGATTGATTAGTGTTGTGAGAGGAAGTTGCGTGGTTCTCCGCTCATTGCCAAACTTCTAATTATACACTGATATTTCTTAGTTTTTTTTTTGTCTTTGTTTCTTCGTTGGCTTCTTCACCATAAAAAAAAACACAAAGTTTTTAAATCAAAAGATCCCAAGTTAGAGTTTGTTTTGCGAAGAAAATACTGAGATGTACCGGCAGCATCTTCATCTCGTCATATTTTAAATGACACTACTATGCTATCCTAGGACACCAACCTCCAATTCGAGGATTGATGCGGGTTTCCCTTACGACGAACTGGGTTTTTCGAAAAACTTATTTCGCGCCCGAAGGATTTAATCGTTGGCTCTCTCTTTTCTTTCTTCGTGTTCGTAAGCAGCTCGCACCAACAATACTAGGGGGGCTCGTCCACTGGCCGCCTAAAGCGATCTCGATAGTGAGGGGACCCACGCAAAGTATTGTCAGCCTAATACGCGATCCAAGTGCAGGGTAAGCAAGTCTCCACACTTCTGTCGAGAATAATGAGGAGACTTTTGGATGCTACTATGTATACTCCTTGCGACAGTTTTTATGTACTGTTACCGAATCTGTATCTCTTAAACCTTCTGCATGTTCATCTTCTTTTTCCACACTTGCTTCTCTTAAAGCATAATGTATATCTATACCGCATTTTACAGTCACTGTAACACCTTTCAATAGCGATTGACTGGACTGCAAATAAAACAAGACTTATTCATCACGATGGCTAATTAAATCACAAAACAAAACGTCTGGACTTCTTGCCAAATAGATATGAACTGAATTACACAGAGTTCTGTGCTGACTTACATCGATTAAATGCGATTAACCGGTGGATCATAGTTGACAGATAACTAGTGAAGCAAATGTCATTTGGCAACCAATCGTTATTAAATGACGTTCATGACTTTTGACCTTGAATATCTGAAAGCGCAAGCTCAATATTGATGGGGACTTTTAAGATATTATTTTTTGAGGTAAAATAAAGGTGTAGATAAAATTTAGGCTCAGTCGGATTTTTTCAGCAGATGCGGTTTTTTTCGGCCTAATATAACTGGAGTACAAAGGTATGACACTAAACGGAATGATTCAGCCTTTATAGTGGGGTTTTTAGAAAAATCCCTTTAATTAAATACCTAATATCTACGCCACTGAATATCTGAAAAAAACTAATGTAAACTCTGTTTTTTTTTTAAAGATAATTCCCCAAGTCAAAAATTTAGTAACTATGTTGGCAGCACAAGCCTTTTCTACATTAAAAATTTGAAAGCATTGACAATTTTACATTGTATGCCAACATGTCATTTTGACTTTTATCTTTAAAAAAAAAAACACACTTTATATCTATTTGGTAGGAAATTTCTTCCTCTACAATTTTTCTCTCTTGCCTTTTTCACCTAAAATGCTTAGTTTTGGAGTTATCAAGAAAAATGTAAAAAAAGGTAGATTTCACTCCATTTGAGGGGTGGTTTTGGGGTGACGCTTCGGAGCTGGAGTTTCAGAGGGCATTTAGTACCTTAAACACAGTCTCTCACCAAATTTTAGCTTGTCTCTAATTTGTTGAATGTTACCCATATAAAAGGATGGATAGGCCCTGTACTACAAAATAAAAGTCCTTTTACTTCCTATATATATATATCCTGCTTTCACTAATCACTGCATGACCTGTCAAACGTCATTTTATTATGTTCATTAATGAAATTATTAAACAAACTCCTTTATTGTTCCAAAGTGGGACAGGACAAAGCAAACCATGAGATTAGTATATTCAACCACTGATTTAAGAGTCTGTATAGTTTCTTCCCTAACTGGACGTCCCTTCAATAAATGTGTCACACCAGCCATAACAAATAACATTATTCTTCTTATCGAAATTACTTGTATAATTAAGAATATCTCTCACCCACTCATTAGGAAAGGCATTCTGTTTAATGTTGATACAGAAAACTCACGATTTACACAATGATCCATATATTACAAATTATAAATTCTATTGCATATTGTAAAATAGGTAATAGAATCTTCACCTGTATGTTCCATTAAAATGAAATCATTTGGGACAAATATATTCCATTTCTCTCGTTCTTTTTTTCAATTCACTTTCGAGCTATGAAACAGTTCAAACTTCTCCAGTCAAAATGACACCAAACGCGAAGCACATCGAAAACTTTTTCTCAGTAAATCTTTGAAAATAGCGGGAACTTGATGAGATCGTTATCTGTTCGACGTTTAAACAGTGATGCCAAATTCATTTCTTCAGTAAGAGTTGGATATTGGATTCTCAAAAATCAATATGACTTCTGCTATTGATTCATTGAATTTATTATCTATTCAAAAATTGAGATTATTTTTGCAGATTCAAATTAAACAAAAATTGTGAAATTGTGACGCCGACAACGAAAGAGACGACATCGACGCCATTTATTTAATTATTTATTTTTTTAACACAAATTTGACAGTACAATGAAATTTTTTTTATTTTTTATTTTTTTTTTGAGTCTATATACTAAGTTACAGTTAAATCAGAAATCGTCTACAGAGATACAGACAGTCCAAGACAAAAAAAATTACATGCAAAAGTATAAACTAGAAGTTTTGCTTCAAACCTATGTAGTTGTCGGAGCAAAACTTCACACTCAAACCGGACAATATTATTTTAACTTAATTGAATGAAAGTTTTAACTAATTAGAATTATTGACTTAACGCCCAAAAGCTGCCCAATCACGACAGGCAACCAAACAAAAACAAGAAAAATAGAAAATTTATTACCTAAACTAGAATAATGAGATATTGGTTTGACTCTATAAGAAAAAGTAAAAAATATGCAAATTGCCCTATATAAGCTTATTTAAGATAAACAAAAATTATTGAGTCGAGCAAGAGATGATGGAACGATTATTCAAACTTCTATTTCAAGACTCGTCGATTTCAAAAAAAAATAATTGTTACTTAATTAGTTGGCGTGATTATAAAATGTGTACGTGTGTTTTTTTTTTTTTTTTTTGACGTAAATTCAATTATTATTATTGACAGGAGGTTGTCTTCAGCAGGGGGGTAGGGGGAAATGTCGTCGCTCAGTCGTCCCCTTCTTCTTCTTCGGATTCGGCTTCTTGAAGCCAAGTTAGCCATTGGTTGACCTGAAAACAAACAAATTAATTATTAGTAATTTAATTCAAGTTTTTTTTGTAAAGGTAGCATTATGTGCGACTATAAAAACAATAATTAATTATAATGTCATAGGCTATAGGCCTAGAGTTGGGACAGTCATGCTCACCACTCTTATATAGAAGGACAATCGGGGTTATCAGCAAACAAGGACTTTGATATGAGGAAATTAGATGGCAAAAAAGTGATGGACCTAAAACTGATCCACTTAAAATTTGGTGTTCTGGGAAGTGGCTTCTCCAATACTTCCTCTAAAATTTCGTTTTTATAAAAAATCTTTAATGAACCCTAGAAGTCTACCTCTCACATCAAAATGCTTGAGTTTATAAAGCAATCTCCCAAAAGACATCTTGTCAAATGCCTTGTTATTAGTTGGTTGTCTCAAGTCATCTGCAAATGTCTACTTTTGTAACCTTGATAGAAGATTTGTAACTGTAGACCTACCAGGAAGAAAGTCATGCTGCGATGAATGAATGAAATTTTTTAGATGTGAGTTCGGCGGTAATAATTTTCTCCATACACTTACACAGTATAGAAGTGAGACTTATATAGGCTTGTAATTGACTTTAATATAACTTCCTTGATTTAGAAAAAATATCAAAGGTTTAAAAAAATAGTGACGTGCCATTTTTTTCTACTTTTACCAAAAAACCCTGTATATTTTTCTATTTTTGACCACCCTGTACATGCTATTTCAAGTTTTAATAGTTTAATATTATTTTTTCAAGAAGCAGAAGCTTTTATAAAGTATAATTTTTTTTCGTAAAAATGATAAGAAAAAAGTTTTTTATATGCTGCGAACTTAAGTGGACACACTGTATATGACAAAACACAAATTGTCAATTTTAATACTACAACATCCAAGCGAATGGAACTGAGTCATGGAGTGCCACAGGGCTCTGTGTTGGGTCTTGGGTTGGGTAGATTCACAATGTATGCAAACGATGCGACTACCAAAAAACAACTCAGTGCTGTTATTAATGGTGATGTTGTGGAAACAGCCAAACAATCGTATTTATTTTTTATGATCACAGTGGCAACGTTGCAAAAAAGCCCCCCGCCGTGAAAACTTTGCTGGCGCCGTACCAGGCTGTACTGCATTGATCCAGTCTGGTTGTTGTCGCTAGGGGAAAAAATGCATTCCTTATCTTTTTCACTTCGCAGTGTGATTTTAGCAGTGTGATTTTAGCAGTGTGGTTTCACTAGCAGTAAATAGTGCGTAAAAACGTCTAGCTCTATACAAGTTTGAACCTGCTCACTTTTCTCTAATTATTTAATTATTCTCTCTAGTTGCACCCTTGTGCAGTCTCTCTCTCTCGCTCTCTTAAATAAAAAGACTTATTTTTTTATCTCTCTGGCTGCTGGCTTGAAAACTCAAGTGATATAATATCGCGTAAAACATTGAGTTAATCACACTCCCCTTTTTTAAGGGCTCTCTAAAAATATAAAAACTCTCAACTCCCGAAGATTTCTATTAAGAATAAACTTTATCTTGTGCTCTCAACTAAAATATTAGCGTTCCGCTAATACTGACAATTATTGTTAAATTGACTATTGAGCACTTACAACTAGTGAATTTATACCGATTAGTGAATGTTCTCGAATAACTCAAATGCGACTTGTTAACTAACCTGTGAATAATTAAAAGTACTTGAATGTGGTTACAGTATGTCGATGTGAGGTTATGTGTACAACAACAACACATTTTTCTTAGTCCAAAATTTTTCGAGTTTTTTACGCAAAATATTACCTAAAAATTGTACTACTGGTTAGTTCTACATATAATCAGCCCCAGCAAACCTAAATTAAGGCAAAACCAAAATTTTTTATGAAGAAAATCAGTGCTGACGAGGCCTAATCTATAACATGGGTACCTGTTTCAAGTGCAGAAATTCTTGTGTTTACGTGGATGTTACCAAGGATAAATCCATTAAAGACCTCTTCGGTGGACCCTGTGACTTTTGCAGAAACATTTTCTGCAAGGATTGCTCAAAACTTACGTCCAGCGAAATTAGGGCGCTAATGACGCAATCGCGTGTAATTGTTTTTTTCTGCCAAGACTGCATGGCCAACATTAAACAGATAGGCAACATTCAAAAGGACTCTGAAGATATAAAACTAAAATTTACATGAAGGCAGGTATTCAAAATCTTCAGTCACAAGTGACCTCGGCGCCTAAATCCTACGCACAAGCACTAGCTAGCACCACTAGCACTTTGCAGAAGGATATTTCTGATATTAAAAACTCAGCAGAGTTTATTTCGCAGTGTTATGAAGATCAGAAAACAGAACTAGTTAAGGCCACTGAAACATTAAAGAAATATGACACCGAGAATAGTGCCCTAAAACAAAATATTAAAATGCTTGAAACCAAAATGTTTTTCTCTGAACAAAAAGAAAAGGAAAACAAAGTAATAATTTCTGGTCTGAAACAAGTAAGCACTGCAAATATCTCTGAAACAGTTAAAACTGTCTTTAGACGATTAAGTTTAGAATCACTCCAATATAAACAATGCTACAAACTGAATAACAAAGACAATTCTCCAATCCTAGTGGAGCTAAACAACAAGCAGGATAGAGCATCCCTATTCAAAAAACGCAAAGATATAGGCAAAATCTCAGCCGAGTCTTGTGGACTACATGGCGGCACAATATACTTCAATGAGGACCTTACAATGGAGAACCAAAAATTATTTAAACTTGCCCGAGATGCCAGAAAACAAAAACTTATTGGAGCCACCTACACATATCTGGGCTTGGTGTATGTGAAAAAGGATGCCAACTCGCCTGCTGTCAAGATATTAAGCGAGGACAACCTCAAAGAGCTGTACTAAACTTACCATGTTTGAAATACCTACGCCTAATATAGGATTGTACTTAATTATATAAAACTTTACCCATTTCTAAAATGGCTTCCTCAACATTGTCACTTAATGTGCAGAATATTCAAGGTTGTCGAACTAAACTAAAAGAGCTAAAACTGTCCTTCGATAACTGCTCTTTTGATGCTGCTTTTGTCACTGAATCATGGTTAAATGACAGCATATTGGACCATGAAATCGTCGACCTGAGGAGATACTCAATTTTTCGTCGGGACAGGATTACTACATGCTCCAAAAAAGAAGAAGGGGGTGGAGTTTTCATAACCGTTTTGAACAAATATAACCCGGTCGGTCTTCAGGAGTTTGGCAGTGATACTGAGGATGTTTGGGCCCTCTTGACTGTTGGTAATATCAAGGTTTACTTATGTTGTGTTTATCTACCACATGGTGATGACGTGAATTATGCCTGTTTTTTAACAAAATTAGGTTCGAACTTTAAAAAGATAAAAGATCACCCTGTAATCATTTGTGGCGATTTTAATTACTCGACAGTCGATTGGCTCGAGGAGAACGCTCATTTTGAGCCGTTTAATGTACCACCTAAGTATAGTGAGCTACTAGAAGCTTTTTCATTTAATGGCCTTACGCAATTTAATAATATTTACAACGCAAATAATAGGCTTTTAGATTTAGTATTCTGCAATAAGTTTTATATTAATAATTTAGTTCAATCTGACCATCCCCTGTTGCCCGAAAATATAAACCACCCATCCTTGGAGTTCTTGTTTGACTGTCCTCATGCCGAATTAAAAGAAAAATGCAAAAAGAAATACTTTAGAAACTTCAAACAAGCTAAATATACTGATATCAATAACGTGCTCAACTTGCAGGACTGGCCATCACTGCTAAACCCTAAAAATAATCTGGACATAAATGTCAAAATATTTTATAATACCTTAAACAAAGTTATACAGGATAAAGTTCCTCTAAAAGGTATAAATAATGACTTTCCTCCCTACTTTTCTAAAGAAACAATCAAACTAATATTAAAGAAAAAAAAATTACACAAAAAATGGAAAGATAACAAAAATGTAAACTCCTATAATGCTTTTAAACTTCTCCGTTCACAAACAAAAAGATGCATTGGCACTGACTACCAGTCATATGTTTCTAACATAGAAAACGAAATACCTAATAATAGCAAAAAATTCTGGCAGTTTGTGTCAAATAAAGGATCAAATGGAGGGACTCCTAGGGAGATGAAGTTTGGTGACAGGGTGGCAGAGGATGGAGCTGGAGTCTGTAAGTTATTTTCGGATTTTTTTCGAAGCGTATATGTTGAAAAATCTCCTACAAAGAAAAAAATTGAAAAACACCGTCAAGACAAAAATAAGACACTTTCTAAGATTATACTGAGTGTAAATGAAGTACGGGGAGCTTTGCAAAGTTTGGATGAAAAAAAAGGGGCAGGTCCTGATGAGATCCCAGCTTTCTTTGCAAAAATGTGCTCGCTTTCACTCTGCCTGCCATTGACAATGCTGTTTAATCAATCTCTTTCTTCTGGGATCTTTCCAGAAGTCTGGAAGGTCTCTGCCATAACTCCGATCTATAAAAATAGTCAAAAAAATGATGTGAAAAATTATAGACCTATCAGTAAACTGTGCACTTTTGCGAAGCTTTTTGAGAAAATGGTCTACCCTTATATTTTTAGTTTTGTCATAGGTGACATCATGCCACAACAATATGGCTTTTTACAAAGGAGGAGTCTAGAGTTAAACTTGATAGAATATTCTCAATACATTTATGAATCATTTGATGCTTTCTGTCAGGTGGACGTAATTTATACAGACTTCAGCAAAGCATTTGATAAAATTTGTCATAACATTATGATAGAGAGATTGGAGGAGGTGGGAATCTGCGGTGACCTCCTTAGATGGTTTAAATCATATTTACTTAAAAGATCAATGTTTGTTGCCCTTTTAGGGTTTACCTCTGAGAGATTTTCTCCATCTTCGGGGGTCCCGCAGGGCTCCCATCTTGGCCCCTTACTATTTGTGATCTATATTAATAATATTCAGTTGTGTTTTGAATCTTGCTTGTTTCTCGGTTACGCTGATGACCTAAAAATATTTCTTAGAATTAGTTCAATA